GAAAACTAAATTAAAAATTAAAAGTTATCGCATTATTAATTTTAATAATTATCATGCTATAAAAAATTAATTAAATATCGTAATTTATATACTATCATAATTAAACTTAAACTTTATGTAAATATAAGCAAACTGTACTGTATATATTAACTTTATAAATTAATCGACTTGAAGTGTTATAAAATATTTTAATCTAGGCAAAACATCACATATTATAATTCTACTAATTTAGAAATTAACATTAGCATGTTGATATTATTTAACATTATGTTTAATAATAATTATAATTTTATTTCCAAAACCACCTTGCACACCTCCCACTCCCACAGTGTACCCGGACTACAAAACAGTAAGCGGTGGTCGGGCAGAGTTACCGTGCAATGTGACCCCGGTATCCGTGGACGACTCCGTAACACTCATCCTATGGTACAGAGGGAACGGTAGCCGAACGCCGATATATACGGTCGACGCGCGCGGCGACGCCAGTAATAACGGCACGCATTTCGTGGGCGACGTGTTTAGCGACGGCCGACGGGCGACGTTCAACGTGTCTGCCCGACCGGCGCTACTGACCATCGATCCCGTGACGGAAGGGGACGGCATGGAGTATAGGTGTCGAGTGGACTTCCGGTGGGGCCGTACGATGAATAGCCACGTCTTCCTCAATGTTATCGGTATCGCATTGTTTGCCACTCTTTTGTCTGTTTATAGTCTACGTGTGTATTATGGAGTGAATCGCGGGGTTAGTTGGGGGGAGGGAGTGATCATAGGGTGACCAACTGTATTAAGTTGGAAACCTATCAAACAGAATTATATAGGGTATTAATTTATAATTTAGAATATTTTTCAATAAAAATATATACAAATTTTATTTAATATAATAAACAATAAAAACATTTAAATATTTTTAACTCATACAAAAACCTTATGATTTTACCGTTACAGTCTGTGAATGATAGTAGGTTAATCATTATTTTTATATGATTAAGATTTGTATAAGTTCTGTTATACAATGAATGCTAATGTTTATATAATTTAATAACTATATTATTTAAAACATGAGAGAAAAAAATGTATTTAATAAAATCTATGCATAAATTTACTCATTTCCATTTATAATTATATGAATTATAATTGATTGTCATGTTATATTAGTCCAATTTTACAACAATATATTTTAGTACAAACTATTGAAATCAAATTTTTGAAACTATTCCACAATATAGTTAACCAGAAATGTTGGTCTCTCTGATGTGTGTGTGTATGAGAGAGAGAGAGAGAGAGAGAGAGAGAGATGATATCCGTAAATAACTGTACGATCCTATTGTGTCCGCAAAACTTCATTCATTAGGCCTTATTTGGGGTCAAAGTTGTGGAACTAATGGATGAAAAAGTTTTTGTCCAAAAAGTACTGTAACTTACGATCGCAGGGATGATGACTGACTGAGAGAGAGGGTAGGGATTGGAGAGAATGGACATAAATATATCGCTATATATTTATTACTTATGTTAAACAAGTGCTAGACATTGATGGAGCACAGGGATGTTGTTTATATGAGTTTGGGAATGGGATGTAGTGACAAACAAATTGTTGGCTTAATAAATAAATTGCTTGATAATTTTGTATATATTCAATGCATTAGTTATTGCCATTCATATTGTAATGTAGAGTATTAGCGGAGACATTACTTTTAGCACTAGTATTGTACAGAATATACAGAATATTCTCTGTGTGTGTTGAGTGTAATGGTATGGCATTAAAAGAGACAAATATTTTTGTGTCAATACATAGGGGAAAGGGATGAGAAAAATATGATTTCCTTTTTCGAGGCGAACAATATATTCCGTTAGTGTTTGTATCGTAAGGAATATATTCCGAGAATTCTGTGTATTATTGCCTGTTATTGCCATATATTCTGTATGCCATTGATTATGAATATAACAAATATCTATCAGAATTACCACTAAAATGCAATTTAGGGCTAAATAGTTGCACAGATTATGTAGTTTTTGGTGGTTATAGCAAATGGTATATTTAGCAAGCAACCATTAAAAATAATATTCTGTATAATATGTTAGGGAATTATTAATTGAGAATTGCTAACCTTGGTAAATTTATTTTAATAAACAAACCATAAAAATATATCTAAATTACTTTATCTGATAGTTAAAAAATATTAATGCAACTGTTCTGTTACCAAAATAAATCATATAAAAATTATTTATAAGATTTTAAAAAGTTTAAATTATAATGCACAGTTTTAAATCTAGTAATATCAATAAAATATTTTTAATTATATTTTTAGATAATTAAGTTGTGTGTACATTTTGTTACTTGATATAATATATAAAACAATTAATACTGTAATTGAAAATAATTAAAAATAATTATAGTAAAAAAGTTTGAAAATATAAAACAATGTCATTTTATAAACCCAATAGTTTAGGTACCAATTTTTACATAATAAAATTATTTATATACTATAAAAACTTATAAATTAATAATTTACAGTAAAAATATAAATTAAAATAAATATCTTCTCTGAAATAATTTCTTACCAAGCTAAATTTATTAAAACCAAATAAAAAACTTTAACAAAACACATGAATTGATAAATTACAGTTTTTAATTTTATCATATATAAAAATTAATAATTATTCAAACGTCTATCCCTGTGCTAAACTACCAGTGCCTCCACGATCGGTGATCATCCAGGACATGAACGGCACTGTCATTCGCGATACAGTGATCGGGCCGTACGATCAGGACATGGATGTGATGCTCACGTGTTTGGCTGAAGGAGGTATACGACGGCAAACATATCTACAGATAAACTATTGACACAAACACTTATATACTTACGTATACTGTATTACTCGCCGTATGTGTCGTACATCTACGAGATATATGGCAAACAAAAGCACATTATATTAAACACCGATATTTTCGCTACACTTTGTCTTATCGCACGACAAACACCAATAAATAGTATATAAACACAGCGAATATAACATAAGTTTCATATCAGGCGCTCACAAACGCGCCGTACAATTGGTGTCGCGATAAAAGTGTTTCAAAAATATATTATATATTTGACAGCAATTTGCGAGCGAATAGTCGTCGACAGAGAGAGAGAGAGAGAGAGAGAGAGAGAGAGAGAACTAGTCACAAACTAGATTGTTTTAATATTACAGTCTATTAATAACAGTTTTTAATATGTTATTAAAATATGTTTGTCCATGTGTATACCTAACCTAACTCCAGAATGTATGCATTGGTTAACCGCGAGTACAGAATAAATGAATATTTGTATCCAATTTTGCTTTTTTACGCTAAGCTTTTACTTTGTATTTTTGTTTCAACTATTTTATTACAACTACTGGTAGAGTGTGGGTTGAGTGCAGCAAAAAAACTTCATTATCTCTAACTCTACCGCCGATGACTGCCTAAGATTTATAACGTTTTAGTTTTATTAAACACAAGTGTATTATACAGTATATACGGCTAAACAAAAATAAATATATAATTCTTTCAATGCATTCATCGCCGCATAAGATATGAGCGAAAAAGTAATTTTGATATTTATATCAGGGGAATGCCTGCCTGGACTTTATCCACTAAACATACCAGTGCTCTGAATAAATTGATAGTATGTCGGACTGTTCGTACACTTTATTAGTGAATAGTGTTATTCAATTAAATGTATATACTTTTATATAACTTTTTTATTATGAAATTAATAATGAAAAAAAAACCAGTGCTCTGAATAAATTGATAGTATGTCGGACTGTTCGTACACTTTATTAGTGAATAGTGTTATTCAATTAAATGTATATACTTTTATATAACTTTTTTATTATGAAATTAATAATGAAAAAAAATATTAGGACCTAGAGTATATTTTTTAATTAAAATATAACATTCCTTACGTTCCAAAATTTTTAAAATTGTATGATTTATAACTCATTAATAATCTCATTAATTACTTTGTTACAGTTTCTTAATAATTCAACATTATCTAATATACTGTATAAATTTTATACTATAAGTTATAAAATACCCTAGAATCTAGGACCTAGATTAATACGGTTAGACTTATGTATGATATTTAAACTTTGTGTTTTAAACAATAATTATATGTATTATTTCATTAGTTATTAGAGGATATTAATTTTACTGCACAGTATACTGTATAATTTTATTTAATAAGTCATTAAAAATAAATGTGTTTATCATTAAAATTACGATAAATACAGTTAAAACATAGCCAAAATTATTACAAATTATAATATTTATAACCATTTACTAATATCACCTATTTTATAGTTACAGTTCTTAATAGTTTATAGCTACCCATGGACACCCAAGTCACTCATAAATTACAAAATAATAGCACTAAAAATATTTTAATAGAAAATATGACTCACAATAGACTTGCAATTCCCAGCCGTCCTCCACATACTTGTGTGGACCCGACTGTAGGCGCAGATTCTGTGCCCTACAGACCAATAGGGCGTTATTGTCGGCCAGTGTTGGCATCAGATTCAGTACACTTGTGGTAGTGTTGCCATCACTCGACACACTTTCCCTGAAATATCCGAAAAGCACATAAAATTCCCAAACATTTACGTCAAACCACTTATACATACTGTGAATGCGTTAACTGTTTATTATTTTTAAACCATATGATCACCGCCGGGGGTCGGGAGCCTACACATGAGGGGAACGGGAGGTCATTCATTAGCGCCAGGTTTAGCACATTTTTAATATTTTAAAAATAATTACCTTTTGTTTGGCAAACGATCTCTACTTTACGACCGGCCGATAGGATACTCTTTTCGGATATTATGTTAACACTTACGGGATTTACTGTGGGATAAGGGGGAACGGGAGGTCAGGTTTGTCAACAATTAATGACCAAGGCTAATTTCTGAGGTGTTATTCCATACATACAGTTAATATCAATGGAAAACGACGAGCGTATGGGTTGGCTATGGTTAAGGAAATTGTTTGCCTGACAACTAAACACCGCACTTAAGTCATAGGCGGACAGCCTATAGATGATGAGGTCGTTGTGAGCCCAGCCCCGGGAGTCGATGATGTAGGAGCCGTCGATCATTGTGGTGTCCTTATACCAGTGCAGTGTCGGCGGTGGACTACCTATTTATGTCAAATTTAGTACAATTTTTAAATATTTTTATAGATTACAAGGTAAAATAATATTAATTTAAATTGTTATATTTTTCGATTGTAGCATGTTGATAATTTTGTAATACATAATAAAAAATATACTAATTTCAATTGAATTGTATAACCTGCTTTTGAATACTTACAGTAATAGCTAGCTAAATTACATTTTACGGCAATATTTACTGACCATTAATACAATATATAATTTATCCTTATTATTTAATAACTCCTAACTGTGCTTGATATAATTGAAGTTCATTACAGGTGACACTACATAATTACGTTAAGTATTATTTCATATGTCAGTACACTATTAACACTAACTGTTAGACAAACATAACATTTATTATCCGTCAATAGAGGTGTATATATACGACGAGTGGTGTAGAAAAAAGGCATTAAATAAAAATCATACATCACTCCCATATATGGCACTGATATTTCAAAAACATATAAAAATATATATCTCTCCCGGTGCCCTGAAATTGTCCATAACTCGCCAGTACAGTAGAAATCGTTATTATTATAACTGTTAAGTGAGATATACTGTACTGTTGTAAAAACGAGTAGTATTTGATTTATATCGAGGGCACAGGCATGTCAGAGGGGTAGGGTATGTTGACCCTACCTAACACAATAATAGTCTTATACCATGTATAAATATCATATTAATTTAGTTATTGCTAGCTACCATGCCCATATAAAAATATTCTTATTATAAAAAAAATTTTGTTATTAGGTTTAAAGAATATTCTGTAAAAATGTATTATTATTAATACTGTAAGGGGTTAAGCACCGATACCCCTGATAAGCTAGCATTATATAAATTATACGACAATATTCCTATTGTATTGTGTAAATGGTCCAGAACTAATCCCTTATAGCATAATAATAATAACAGTG